AAAGAGTAACGGTTAGTGCATAAATATCATTGTCGTTTTTGATGAAAGCCAACCACATAAGTTTCTTCCAAAGGGGTCATTCTACCAGAGTATACGATTTAGACGTTAACCAGAAACACCGCTCGAACTCAAGTTCCTTTCAGACATAGACGGCCAACAAGGAATAAGATTTCGCGTTCTTCTTATTGTTCCCTACGAAGCAACTAGTAATCATCATGATCCGGTCGTAGTGATCAAGAGACGCTGGTTTTACTATTATCCGTTCGCTGGTAGGCTCAATCCGGCAAGTTGCAAACCGGAAACTGGCGGTCGAGTTTGCTTGTCTTCCTCTTTAGTGCTTAATTTAATGTGGAAGGTTAGAGTAAGTTGAAGTTGGTTATGGAGTGTTGATGAGCAACTTCTTCCAACTCAAAATAAGTCTTTTATCTTTTCAGTGTCTTTTTCGATGAATACGTACAGCCAGATCCAATCAATTTGCTTGTGTTAATTGTACATGATATATACAAAAAAATCTAACTGGTGGACTAAAAAAACAGTAACAATTTTTCATATGTAAATAGAATAGCACCAAAAAAAAGCATGAGTAAAAAAAGGCATTTTTCCCAATTGAAAAAAACACACGAAACATACATTTTTAGAAAGGAAGTCAAATCGTTTATTTTGTACTTTTTAATTGGAATTCCGATTTAAATATCGTTATTATATTTTACTATGGTTATGGTCTCAATGTTTTAGGTTCAGATGGGAAACCTGTTTTCAATATGCGATTTAAAATGTCCAATTAAAACACATTGTAACAAACAGTTCACAAAAAAAACAAAAAATATCATGTGTGCAAATACCACATGTCTATATATTATGTGGTTAACTGCGTCTTATGGTTAAGTCTATCTTCAAAGTCTAAAAACCATGGACCATCAAGTCTCTCTCCCACCATCCACTACCACCGGTCTCTCATTCAAGGTTCATCGCCAGCAGCCGGAGCTAGTCACTCCGGCTAAGCCAACACCACGAGAGCTCAAGCCTCTTTCCGACATAGACGATCAACAAGGACTTAGGTTTCACATTCCGGTTATCTTTTTCTATAGACCAAACGTTACAAGTAATCATGACCCGGTCCAAGTGGTCAGGAAAGCTCTTGCCGAGACGCTGGTTTACTATTATCCATTTGCTGGTAGGCTCCGGGAAGGTCCAAACCGGAAACTTGTTGTAGACTGCACCGGAGAAGGCGTTCTGTTCATCGAAGCCGATGCTGACGTGGCGTTTGCTCAGTTGGAGGAAGCTGATGGTCTTCTCCCTCCTTTTCCTTGCCTTGAAGAGCTTCTCTTTGATGTAGAAGGTTCGAGTGAGTTGCTTAACACTCCTTTGCTTCTTGTCCAGGTATATCAAATCAAATGTGACATCTTCTAATCTTTTCAATTATTATTGTTTTCAAAAGTTAGTTGAGTATAAAAGGGTTTGTGTGTAGGTCACGCGCCTGAAATGTGGAGGGTTTATCTTTGCACTGCGTTTCAACCACACCATGACCGATGGAGCCGGTCTGTTCCTCTTTTTGAAATCACTTTGCGAGTTGGCGTGTGGGTTACACGTGCCCTCGGTTCCACCTGTTTGGGACCGACATTTGCTGATTGCGAGTGCCTCCGCGAGTGTGACCCACATGCACCGCGAGTATGAACAAGAGGTCGATACCGATGCGATACCTATCGGAGTCCCTTTGGTTAGTCGGTCTTTCTTTTTTGGAGCGAGAGAATTCTCCGCTATAAGGAGACTTCTCCCGCCGGATCTCCATAATACTACTTTTGAAGCGTTGACTTCATTTTTGTGGCGTTGTCGGACTGTTGCATTGAATCCTGATCCTGACACCGAGATGCGAATGACGTGCATCATTAACTCGCGTGCGAAATTTAGCAACCCACCACTTCCACAAGGCTACTATGGAAACGCTTTTGTCATTCCTGTAGCGATAGCGACCGCTAGAGATCTGATGGAAAAACCGCTTGAGTTTGCTCTGAGGTTGATACAAGAGGCAAAGTCAAGCGTGACAGAGCACTACGTTCGGTCAGTGACAGCCTTAATGGCAACTAGAGGCCGGCCCATGTTTGTGACGGCTGGAAACTACATAGTGTCAGATTTGAGACATTTTGATTTCGGAAAAGTTGATTTTGGGCCATGGGGCAAGCCGGTGTACGGTGGAACCGCTAAGGCCGGTATCGCAGTTTTCCCGGGAGTGAGCTTCTACGTACCGTTCAAGAATAAAAAAGGAGAGACGGGAACCGTCGTGGCAATTAGCTTGCCGGTTCCTGCTATGGAGAGGTTCGTGAAAGAGCTTGACCATTTGTTAAAACAGCGAGCACGTATCTAATGAATTTGAACACAAAAATCCCAAGAAGTTTATCTTGTAATTCTCATTAATGTAGAATTACAGTGGCATGCATAATAAAATCCGTTACATCAAAATGGTTAAGTAACTAGAAAATGATTCTTATTACACATACATACGTACTCTCTATGTATAAGTTTTAAGTAACTCTACCAGCAAGAGTTTCTTCATAGCAGCTACGGTTGTCTTTTCATGAAAATATCTGAAACTTTGTGGCGTATATATATCTACTTGTGTGTGTCACATGATAGGTTATCTAACCGAAATTTGAAACATTGTTTTCAACGACTAATATGATACAAATAAATGGAAAACAATGAAAAAAGGCAAGCCAAATAATTGAATGAGACAAATTATTAAGCTACAAACTTACAAAGTAACTGAAAAACGTTTAAGCTTTGGATTCGTTACACGATTTCAAAGAAAACAAAACCAGAAGCACAAATGTACACGATGCTTTTTACATTTTTGTCACTTGTTAAATTTCCTTCCAATCTTATTCGAGTATTTTTCTACTCAAATATATCAACATATTTTCACTAAACTAAAAAAACTTGATCCCAAGATTGATATATCTCAATATACAAAAGTCATAATAGAGTCTAGAGTTAAATTGATTTATGTATTTCGTTTAAGAAAGTACGAGAATACTGAATACAAAACAGAGCATTTACTTAAAACAGTTCTGAAACTCGTTATCGGTCGGCTCTCAACAAATATTCCGAGTATAAACAAAACGTTAAGTATTGGCTAATATTGACTTTTAGTATGTGACATAACAATTATATATTTACCTTGTTATTCACTTTTACATGCACGAAATATATGTTTTTTTTTTTGGTGCTAAATTGAAATATATGTTTTTCTTTCTTGTTTTTCATGTTTTTAACTTTTTTTGTCCGATTCTTCCACTCCAACAAATGTTGACACTTACGTTGCGTAGAAAACAACACAACTACAAGTGTACAAAACTATCTACTTCAAATGCCATGTGATCATCCTTAAATCAAACGGTCTAGAAAATTT